ATTGGTTCAGTAAAATCAGGTATTGGTTCAGTAAAATCAGGTATTGGTTCAGTAAAATCAGGTATTGGTTCAGTAAAATCAGGCATTGGTTCAGTAAAATCAGGCATTGGTTCAGTAAAATCAGGTATTGGTTCAGTAAAATCAGGTATTGGCTCAGTAAAATGAGGGTTTGGTTCAGTGAAAATCAGGTATTGGTTCAGTAAAATCAGGTATTGGTTCAGTAAAATCAGGTATTGGTTCAGTAAAATCAGGCATTGGTTCAGTAAAATCAGGCATTGGTTCAGTAAAATCAGGCATTGGTTCAGTAAAATCAGGTATTGGTTCAGTAAAATCAGGTATTGGTTCAGTAAAATCAGGTATTGGCTCAGTAAAATGAGGGTTTGGTTCAGTAAAATCAGGCATTGTTTCCGTAAAATCAGATATTTGTTCTGTAAAATCAGGTATTGGTTTAGTAAAATCAGGTATTGGCTCAGTAAAATGAGGGTTTGGTTCAGTAAACTGTATTAGTACATATATACCTAACTCATTTAAGCACTGGGCAATGTAAATTCCCTGAAGACATCATCTTAAAACTTCACTTTTTACTGGCCTGCAGTGCAGAACTCATCCAATTTATATATATGTGTACAGACACATTTGTTCCCTTATGAAGGCTGTCATTTTTGCTCCTTGAACCAATATTATCTCTGGTCCTAATATTGCATTGGTGATATTGAGCCAATATTATCTATAATCTCTGGTCCTAATATTGCATTGGTGATATTGAGGCAATATTATCTCTGGTCCTAATATTGCACTGCTGATGTGGTGGAATATTGAATGGTCACTGGGCCAAGCCTCTGCATAATATTGTTAAAATTTTGTGTTAGTGTTGCTACCTGATATTAGTGAGATGTTATGGTGACAGTATTTAGCGCCACAGGCTACTAATAGTGCAATACTAGATTATTATGTAGTCAATATCTTGCAATGAAGCCTTCTGTATTTTGTCTTTTGAAATGATTGAAATTTGGTGCTGAAGTATTGAAGTGTAATGCTGGAATATCATTGTGTAGCGTCACTTCCTTTAATTATAGTGTCTAACTGTTTTTATATTTGGCTAGCACTTGATCAAGAAGTGTCAATTTTATTGAGAGGTTAACTAACAGCCTGTGAGCCTGGCGCTGCTGCGCTCAGATGTCATGCTGAGCGAGTGCAAGCCGGGCTGCTGTTCCCTCTGCCTTGTGCCGCCCTATGTCATGAACCAGCAGGTCGAGATCAACACCATAGCTGCCGGCTTTGGCCACATGGGTCCCGTGTCTGCCAGGATCCACAAGTAGGATGCTTGTTGCAGATGTTTCTTAGCAGATGTATGGTACTTGAGATTTGAATACATAGGGCTTTCCATTGCAGTTAGTCAGTGTATTAGTCATGAATAAGTGAAGCGTTATGTGTTGCAGTTGTATGCATTATTGACGACTATGTTTCAATAATTATTTTCTGGAGATATGACTAGTGTACTAATGTGCTTGTGTTGTATATAGACGAATGAACTACTAGTTAGTTACTTAGGTCTCATCTGACAGGCTATCACTAAACTGCAGATCCAGTGGGACAGACAGGCCTACCTAGGATATTTGTTTTAATACATGATTTGATAGGATAGAACATGATAGGATTGTATAGCATGAAACAGGATAGGAGTGGATAATATAGAATGGGATAGGATCAGTTGATAAACTTTAGAATAGGACAGGTTAGGCTGAGACAATTTTGATTACAATGTACTAGGCCCACCAGCAACAGGAAATGGACTAGGAGGCTCTATAAGTAACAGGAGGCTCTGTTGACTAATTCATTCATTGTCATGTGTAAGAAGTTTGATAATATATAGGTTACTTGAATCACTTAAACCCAATCCAAACAAAATTTCCAATTCCCTGAAACCTACCATTCATTTGCTCTTGATATTTTAGGTGTTCTCTTTTTATATTATTTGATTTATTTCTGTTATCAAAAAAGTGTTACAAAAGCATTGTTGTGGTGACAATTCTGATGATTGAAGTTAAGCTTTATATGTAGGATCATTTGTTTGCCTCTCAGGGGCCGTATTTTCAAAATTCACTCAAGTAAACATTGTGGCCAATTTCTTGTCTGTAATTGGTGGATCTACCTTGAAAAACTCAGTATTTAGCTGATGGGGATATATACTACTGTATTCTTGATAATACAGCCCCTGGTCAGGTGGAGTAATAAGTTAGTTGTGCACTTCCTCTTGTTAAGGTGAGTGGCTGTGTTCTCTGACACATCTTTGTTTGCTTCTACTTTTTTTTTTTGTTTGTTTTTTTTAGACGCCTGCTGGCTGAATTTATTTTTTGCATGAAATTTTTATCTCTGAGTATTTTAAAGTTCATTATGATTTGTTTATTATTTGTGTATTGTAATGTCAGTGTGGCATCTCAATCTTAAATGTGCTTCTTCCAAGCAGCTCTGACTTGCACTCACACTTTTGCCTACTGTATTCTTGCCTGAAAATTTCTGGGAATTGGCAACTTACAGATGACAAGTGTCAAAATTCGTGTCTAAATGTAATGGAAATACAAAGAATATTTGAATTATCACAACCAAAATACAACTTGAATTCCTAATCATGTGTATATTTGGTGANCACATCTAGATGTGTATAAGAGACAGCTTGTGCTGCCTGGGGCACTGATATGCTCAATTTAGTATGGGGTAAACAATGTCTTGCAGTCTAAAAAAATATGCCAACATAAATGATATTGCATAATTTTCAAAGTAAGTGCAATGAATTTTTGAACAACAAACAAATTGGGGCATTTTAAGAAGTCCCACACTTCAGAAAGTTGTACAGCTGAGTTCCTGTGTACAGCCAGTGTCGCTGGCGCTGATACGATGCGATGTGCTACTGGATGCTCCTCCCTGTGATGAGAATACGTCTTTGGCTGGAACCAAATTAAGTGAAGGTTCGGGACACTCAGAGTGTGAAGGCACCCACAGCCCTGAGGATGACCTGCGGAAGTTGTGCTGCGCCGCACCCAAGCAGGTGGAGGTGAACACGATTGCCTCCAGCTTTGGGGCACTTGCAGTCCATCTTGGCCATCTCCACAAGTATGAGTGCCCTGAACCTAAGAATATTATCAGACTTAACTGGAAATATGAGCTTATTATTAATGTTTGAGGGAAATAATAATACTAGTGTATAAAAAATATACATTTCGGCATCATAGGATATAGTATTGTTGAGAGATGTTCTACCCTTACAGGACCATGTATGTTGTGTAGTGCTGGACTTGAATTAGGTTTATAGCTTGACCTGGCATTTCCTGTATCTATAATCAGAGTCCTGGACAGATATCCCAGATAGAAAAGATCCTGTGTTCTAGATAAAGAAAGCAGTATATTCCATATGGAAATACTGCATTATATAGAAAAACTATACCTTAAAGTAGTGCAGGTAGTACATGACCAACTTTATTACAGTTTCTAACCCTTGGAAACCTATTCTATTTCTGTCACACGTTCTCATTACTGTTTTTCTTTCTTGGCTGTGAAGATAACATGCATTATGGGCCTCATCAAAGTCCAGGATCTTGAGCATGGCTCATGGCATGAACAAGATAGATCATGGCAATATAGAGCATGGCTCATGGCATGAATTGGTGCCATCAACTGGGGTGGCTTTGGCCACCACTACAACAGAAACAAATGGCAGAAAAACAAAATAATGAATGTTGACCAAAGTCACTCTTGTAGCCAAAGTCATCCCAGTCACTTTCGCCAATGTTTATTATTTTGTTTTGCTGCCATTTGTTTCTGTTGTAGTGGTGACTGAAGTCACCATAGTTGACAGTAATCCAACTAAAATTTTTTTTATTTGGACACTTGTTAAATGAATATTTTTTTCTTAGAATTTCTATTAATTAGTGGAGTTTCAACAAAGCTACTGAAAATTAAGAATGTGATTTTCACCATGAAATTCAGATTAAAGTATTGAATTTGTTACACTTGACCTTTATTATTATGTTAATACTAACAAATTAACATTCATTCTTTTACTATTACTATTGATTGGTAAACAAAATACTACAACACAATTTGAATGATGCTTAGAGGTTCTTCAATTTAGTTTATTGTACTTTATTTTTATTCTGAAATATTTGTTGAACATTTGATTATATTTCTTGAACATTTAATAAATACAGGGTGCGTATCAGTCATGGAATTTTATTTTTCATGTTCCAGGCCTGGAAAGTTGTGGTATTTCATTTCAGGTTATGGAAAGTTATGGAATTGGTAAATAAATGAAGAAAAAAGGAAGTGTTTTTCTGTGCTGCGTGTGTTACATTTGGAACCAGCGGAGAAAAATGGATTCATAATAAAATGTTACGATCAAATAAATATACAAGTGAATGTGTAGGTTTGATACACATCTTGTACATGTTCTGGCAACGTTTGGTTCTGCTGCACTGACTACTCTCTTTTCAGTTAACATTCAGGGATTGCTAGAACCAGGTCATGGAAAAGTCATGGAATTTTTTTTCTAAATATCGGTACGCACCCTGTAAATAATTCAATAAATACATTGATGGTATTTCTTCATACCTTCTTTGTGATTGAGATACCAATATTTAAGTGACATGAAGATACAAACTTGCTGGTTCTTGCATGTTTAAAAGAAGTGATGTTATTAGTTCAATGTTGTAAAGGCAATTAGGTATCCGAATAAAATCATTATAGTTGAATTAAAAACTTACAAGAAGCATTTTTTATATGTCCTGCCCAATGCTAACACGTACTTGCCTTGGTTTATAGTTGATGCTGTAGTCTTCTCAGGAAAATTATTCATGAATTGAGAAGTTGCATAGAATTTTGGTGGTTTTATGGCTTTTGATATTATGAAGTAAACATTGTAGTGATAATCAATTATATTAACTGCTATACTAGGTGAGAATTATAATGGTTATTCTCTCTTGACTAGGTAATAATATATTTACTACACACATCTATACTGAGCAGTGTTACTACACACATATATACTGAGCAGTGTTACTACACACATCTATACTGAGCAGTGTTACTACACACTGGGTCCAGGGGCTCCTCAAAGGTCTAGGGTCCAGGTGCTCCTCAAAGGTCTAGGGTCCAGGGGCTTCTTGAAGGTCTAGGGTCCAGGGGCTCCTCAAAGGTCTAGGGTCCAGGGGCTCCTCACAGGTCTAGGGTCCAGATGCTCTTCAAAGGTCTAGGGTCCAGGGGCTCCTCAAAGGTCTAGGGTCCAGGGGCTCCTCGAAGGTCTAGGGTCCGGGGGCTCCTCAAAGGTCTAGGGTCCAGGTACTCTTCAAAGGTCTTAGGGTCCAGGGGCTCCTTGAAGGTCTAGGGTCCGGGGGCTCCTCGAAGGTCTAGGGTCCAGGTGCTCTTCAAAGGTCTTAGGGTCCAGGGGCTTCTCAAACAAGTGGTTACTCTAGTTTCTTCAGGGTCTACAGTCAATTGTGATGTTTGATGACAGTAAAGAGCCCCTTGAGTTCTACCAGCAAGTCAGTTGTTTGAGGTGGAAGAACGACTTGAGTCATACAAGCATGTCAGTTGTTTGAGGTGGAAGAACGACTTGAGTCATACAAGCAAGTTGTGTTACTACACACATCTATACTGAGCAGTGTTACTACACACATCTATACTGATCTGTGTTACTACACATCTATACTGAGCAGTGTAGCAGTGTTCTGCTTGTGGCATTCACAGTTGCATTAAAATCTTATACATTAGTTTATTCATAATAGATCAGCTGCCCATTGTAATAAGAACTATTATTTTTTATTAATTGCTAGAAAGCAACTAATATGCGAGTATTGACATCACACATTTTGTTTCAACTGGAAGAAATGGAAGCTAAAATCTGCCTTTTAATTGATGAACATTTCTTCAAAAATGCAAGCCAGGGTAACTTAATTTGGGGAACTTGTGCATGTTTATGTGATTATCTTGATGTGTTTTGTACTGCTTTGCATGCATCTGTCTGCATGCTTCTCATGCCATTTTTGCTGAACAAAAAGAAGTTTGTTGAGAGCTTTTTGTACCATTTATCATAGGCTTGAGCTTGCATTGCTTTGCTTTATTTGTTGCTTTCATTCCATTTCTCATGACTTCATTTATTTTGAGAATTGATGTCTACAATGAAATTTGAAGAAAAACATTTTCTGTCTTGTGAACAAAAGTTGATTTGATGTTGTGTGCTGGGTAATGTAGTCAACATTACTGACCACCTGCAACTTATAATTTGTTAATAATTATACTATAAAACTTGAAGCATAAGTTTTAAAGTGAAATAAAACCTATAATTGGTTTTCCTGCCAAGTTAGATTGCAATAGAATTACCTATGACACAATAACCTCTGGTCTTAAAATAGGGAATAAATCAATGTAAGAAAATACACATATATGATAAATACATTATTTATATTTAAATAAATATACATACAGAAATGGAAGAAAATAGCCTATGCTGGTCAAGTTAGCATTAAAGGATCAGTTGCGTTTCTTCCCATCTGATTTTATGCACATTTTGTTTGCAATTGATTAATTATAAAGATTGAACCTATAAACCTATCTCAGTTCAATTATTCATAATAATTGGTGAAAATTATTTCAATTATAATCAATAGAACAAATATTGTTGCACCATGTTTTGTTATATAACTGAAAGTTCTACATCCATGCAGACCTAGCCTGATAGCAAATTTATTTCTCTCGGACATTTAAAGGCATTTTATCAATTTACCAACCAAATTTCTTGTTTGTGAAATACACCACATTGCATCCATTCCAATTTGCTGAAATTCATTTATTTATTTATTTTATTTAGGGACAAATGAGCTTCACACATAAACCAAAAAATGCCATTTTGAAAGTTGACATATACATGCAGCAAGAGGNGTATAGATTACCATTTCTAATGGGCACACGGTAGTTCAATTTGTACATGCAATCTTTTAATTCCACCTACATATATAATTAGGAGAATGCTAGGTGCAGTGGGTTTAGTTTAAGTGTATTAGTTTCTGTTGGCCCTGCAAGACCAGATACAATAGTTAAAGTTATCAAAGGTTTTGGTACCTAGTAGACCAGAAACTCTAGTTAAAGTTATCAAAGGTTTTGGTACCTAGTAGACCAGATATGCTAGTTTAAGTTAACAAAGGTTTTGGTACCTAGTAGACCAGATATGCTAGTTTAAGTTAACAAAGGTTTTGGTACCTAGTAGACCAGATATGCTAGTTAAAGTTATTGAAACTTTTGGTACCCAGTAGACCAGATACACTAGTTAAAGTTACATTGGCAAGTTATTGGAGCTTTTGGTACCTAGTAAGCTAAAAAGTGTAGTTCTCAGCTAGCAGGGATCTAGATAGCAAACCTGTCAAGTGTTTAAACTAGATGCATTATTCCTATAGGGGAAATGTCCATTTTTTATGTATGCAAATAGTTAGTGCCCATCATTATTAAAATGGTATTTCTTTTAATGATAACTATTTGATATATTAATCTGATTTCAATACTGATGTGCTTCAAAATATATCATATTTCATTGTCAATTAATAATGGCAGTGTCATTAAGTTCAATGATCAACATGTATATAAATATATAAGAAGTTGATAGTATTTAATGATGAGATATAAGTTACTTGAATGATTAATTGTTGTTTCCAATAAGAATAAGGCTTTTGGACTGATATTACTAATTACTTTGATTACTATTACTTGTGTAATGACTTAGACTTGATGTTACTAACATGATGTTGCAGGTATGTTTATGGCAGTGAGAGTTTATCCTTATTTTGTTTATCTTTTATCTTGGAATTGAATATTGTTGTATTTGAAATGTTAATATTAGAATTACTTAGCAAAACCTGCCTTTTTTGTCACACTAACATCATCTAGAGAATTGTTTTACTCCATGAAACGTTTAACTGCATGGTTATTAATTAATTAATTTAATTAATATTTAATTCTCTTGTCATTAAATCATATCCAAGTATTTGTCACTTTATTGATTCATTGCTTTCACTGAATTCCTTGCTTCATATATTTTAGGGAACATCTTAAGGAGTTTTCCTGTTTGTTGCAAGCATTTGGTGGGTTTCTTTTATTTATTTTTCCACTGAAGCATCTGATCCTTTGTAGGATTGNTCATGCCAGCACTTGGTATGGATGGTATTCATGCCCAGCACTTGGTATGGATGGTATTCATGCCCAGCACTTGGTATGGACGGTATTCATGCCAGCACTTGGTATGAATGGTATTCATGCCAGCACTTGGTATGGATGGTATGGACGGTATGATGGTATGATGGTATGGATGGTATGGATGGTATGGATGGTATTGATGGTATGGATGGTATGATGGTATGGATGGTATGATGGTATGGATGGTATTTACCATTACAGTTACCAGAGAACCAGGCGCTGGAGCAGCTGTGTGGTGGTATGGTCGCTGCCTGGGAGCTCTACAACAGCCCCAAGTACGACCGCTTGTTTACATTATTTATTAAAATTAATTATTATTATTTGATATGGTTATGTGCTTTATTTTGTAGATAGTTAATAGAATTATTTTTTTGATTTGGCAGTATGCC